CAGGGCTGTATTTGCTGAACAGTTAATGTAATATTTTTCGGACCCCTTGAATTAAAACGGTCTGCACTTCAGACCTGATACAAATCCACTGTGCTGTTGTACAGAGGCAAAAAATATTTTTGAAAAAGCCAATGTTCAAAGACATATGGAATAGGGTTGCCACGATTAGTCGACTATCAAAATCGTCGACGACCAATTTAATAGTCGACGCGTCGTTTGAAGCTTTGTAATATCCCAAAAGACGCAGGAATAAGTAGAAGGGTTCAAGAGTGTAATAACGGACTGAGACAGAAGATGGCAGCGCTGCATGAAGAAGGATGCCAGCTGCCGTTAAACCTCGAAGAAGAAGAAGCAGCTGTGTCCCAGAATTCATAGCGCGGCCCTGCTCAGTTTCCAACAATGGCGGCAGCTAGTTAGTTTTGATGTTACTCTTATTATTCTTGGGCACAAAATAAACGTTTAACATTTTTCAGGCGAGGATGTAGCTGTGTAAACTTCAAATATCTGCTCAGTTTATCAAGACACCACATATTTTCAAAAGCGCTCCGGCGTTTTCGGAGACGTCTGTTACCCACTAGCTCGATAGCGAGCCGGGGTTCAAGGCTCACTAGAGCAATCGTTTTCAAACCCCCCGCTGTCTTTCGCTACTAAGGCTAAACATGATATACAAGTCAATTAGATCACTTACAAATGTTATTATTTGGCCTTTTTCAGTATTTTATTTGTTTCTGAGTAAATCGGTTTGGCTGAGATTAAAGTTATAGTTTTTACACAGCTGAATAAACGTCAAGCAGACAACTGATTATCAGAAGAGCGAGATGCTGGAGAATATACTAGGGTGTCCTGTTATATTTTAGATAGCAAGGAGCAGACGGCTGCGTTTATTAAACTCCAATGATAGCTAATGATAGTTAAATAAGAGCAGATGCATGCTGATGCAATAAGCTGTACGTTTTACGTCCAATGGACGCGTGATCTGATTAGTCGACTAATCGCAAAAATAATCGGTGACTAGTCAACTATCAAAATAATCGCAGCCCTAATATGGAAATAAGTGTACAGAATGTACACATGTAGATGTATTAGCACTACTCCACAAACACTGACACTTACTCGCATGTCGTACAAATGGGGCTGAAGTTGCAGAATACTAAAAACAAAAGAAACAGACTGATTAAAAAAAACATACTGCAGCTCTTTCCAGTAATAAAGACTTAAGCAATTCAAACTCACTGGACAGACAAACTGAGCACACATAACCGATTTCAATGAGGTTACGGTGGCAGAAACACGCAGCTCGGTAGTCCACGTGTGCAGGCGGCGGCAGCACCAGCTGTGACCGCTGTTCAGAGTCAGGCAGGAACACCCACTGCTCAGAAGACAACAAAAACAGCTGTCGTTAGATGCAAATGAAACCAACCCCATTCTTCTTAATGCGTGTGAAACTGTACTGCACTCTCACCAAAAGATACTGTGCAAGGGCGACTTTCTGTGGTATCTTCATGTACAATCCTCCAGTTATATCACAAGCCTGAAATGAGTATATAACGGTTACGATAGCATGGTAGAGGGCACACATCACATCACATGATAATCACCACACTACCTCACACTAAAGATGTTAATTCACTGAAAAATATTTGTGTTAAGACAAAGTACTTTCCTTAAATACTTGGAAAACTGCAAAGTGGTGATTGTCCTTACAGAGCTATAAGAATTTACCTGCTGAAGGAGACCAGAGTCTGAATCCAACACACAGGCATCTATCAGGATGTTCTGTTTAAAACACAAAAACGTTTTTAAATTTAGCGTTTCATTTTTACCTTTCTATTTCTACCTTTGTCTGGCTAAATAAAGATTACGCTGACTCACTGAACCATTTTATATTACAAACTGGTATTACAGGACAAGTACAACCTGGGCTTAGTTTAACTTCAGTTGATATCATAAATAGTATAATAGGTGAAGAAGGCTTCCAGGTTTGAAAAGTCAAGTGCCTTAAACCTGGATTCTTTCTAATGGCCACCAGGTGGCGACTGCTCTGGCTGCAAAAACACTTCCATTCTTATAAAAGTCAATGGGAAAACGGCTCCTCAAGCTTTACCTCTGTAGAGACGGTCTTGTTGAATTTATGGACTCAGCTGGTTAGTTTGGGTCATAATGAATAAAACATTTAACTCTATTTTGTAAATTTTGGCTTCTATGTGTAATAAAGAAGGATTAGTGGTTGATATTTCTTAAAAACAGCACGAAAATGACTTGGATGTTAAGTGATAGCAGATGTTTTTATATAGTGTGTCAACAGCTTTACTTATTTCTGGGAGTTTTAAACTATTTTATTTCAACACAGCATTTCATTATAAGCATCTTTAGGTCCAACTTTTCATCTACAGCAGTTGCTGTAGTAAGTAAAGGGTAATTAAGTGTTAATACAGGACAATGATCTATTAATATTCTACCTGCTTCTGAGCAGCAAAAATCACATTCATGAAGTTCATGTACTGGAGAGCGCAGTCCTCAGCCGCTTTTACCACCTATACAGTGCAAAGTGTCAAAGAGGGGTCAAAGTCAGGTGGGAAAAAAAACTAAACAAAAGCATTCATAATATTTGAACATTTGGGCATTACCAGTATTCTTGATTTAATCTCTTGTCCAACTAAAAAAAGAGAGAGAAAATATATATACACATTAAAGCAGGGTAAATGGAAAACTTCATTCAATAACTGGCATTAAGCATGTATAAAGATTAAATCACCTTCCAGCTCTTTCGTGAGCCGGTGAATATCTATATATTAAAGGATTAAGGTGAAAAAGTAAATAATATTGATGGAAAATAAATAATCTATAGATATTTAACTTTAGAGCAAAACATCACATACGTTCTGCAACACAAACAAATTCTCTGGGTGACGATGGCATATAAATTAAAATTGCAAAAAAGAAAGATTAAATAAGTGATAGCATTCTATTTCTCTTCAAAATAGACACTAAATGTCCTCTAAAGTCAAGATTAACAATATTTTTCCTGCACTACCTACATATATGTAGGCCCATTTGACATTAATTACAGTAATTTTGTAAAAAAGCTATAAATATAAATATCTGCTTAGTTTCCAGCACCTGTCTTACACTTCCTGGCTGATTCTGTGGAGTCGTGCACTGAATGCAATGTTTATTATTGCACAGCATGTCATAAATGATAAAACAGTCTGCATGAAAAGGATACAGCAGAGAGCTTTGGCGAGGGATCCGGCCAACAAAGTATCTGTTGAATTTCCCGTCACTTCAACTGAAATCATGTGAGATACACTGAATTTTAGGGAGCATTGTACAACATCTTTAAATACCTAAGAGTTCATCCTCGTAAATACATGCTTACTTTTTGACATTATGTTCCTGATCTCTTCGACAATAAGGTTATTGGCAGCAGACAGGAGTTCATATTTTCCATCTCCGCTTGAGGATACATCATTGCCACCACCGTCTTCTCCACTCCAGCTCTTACTGGGATACAGGAAGTGACTGAAAAAGTGAGTGGGAGAAAAGCGCATATGAGCAGCGACAGCAGCAAAACATTAAACAGACAATACTTTATTCCTGGAAACTGAAACTAGTGGAAGAAATACTCAGACCAGCATATTGGATTCCACACCCACCAGCTAAACTGATAATCTGTTTGCACTGCAAACAGATGAACAGTTTTTGTTCATCTGATATTGTATTTCCTTGATTTTAAGACGACTGCTGTTTTTTATGTCCTAATATTTAAGTCCAAGAACTGACAGATAATATACTTTTCCACATGATGGTGATTCTCCTCTTAATATAGTTTACAAGCCTGTGTGTGGACCTCAGAAATTCCTCTGTGCAGTAAAACCCAGTGAAACTATGGTATGAAATTACCTGCCCTGGCAGTGGCTAGCAATGACAGCCAGCTTGTTTGTTCTAGCCATGGCCATGTGAGCGTTGCCCATCACCATGACTGCATCCATACACTTGGACAGGGTGAACTGGGCGGACACAGGGGTACATGGAGCGTTGTTTGGCATCAGAGACATTCAGAAAAACTTTAATGAGTCAGAGTAACCACAGACATCACAGCTAATACCTGTGGATCCCGCTGAGCCTGCTGCCCCCACCATATGGGGTTTACATCCACGACGATCACCAGGAGGTTGATTTCGTCCTCTAGGCAAGATTTTTGAAAGCGATTCATTAAAAAGCACCTGAGTGTACAAAACAAATACTGCAAAGACTCATTATGAGCCAGGCTACATACCTGATGCCATCACGGCGGATTATTGTCTTGAAAAAGAGATGGCTTCTATTCTGCTGCTCTATCTTCTCTTAGTGCTCATACTTTATCGTAAACTTCAAACAATCTGCAGACAGCTAGGAGCGTATTCAGGTCCAGATAGTTTAGGAAAAACAATTATATGCAGGGATACGCACATTATTTCTCATCACTTACACCGCTGGCGTCTCCAGGAAACGATTTCTTTCTTCTTCTGTGGTTTTTCATAGCAGACTACAGACGCCCGGCACACTGCTGCCACCTAGCGCCCATTTGCTGTAGCGTAAATTCTTAGGTCTATACATTCTCTACATTCATGGTCATGGTCATATAAACCAACCCTTTTTTCGTTCTTAAATCTCTCCATCTATCCCTTATCTTCTGCTCATCCAATTTAGAGGCCCCCTTGAACCCTTCCCAGCTGCCATAGGGCGGGAGGCAGGGCGGTCTGTAAAATACATTTATGGATGGAAATTCCATCTATAAATTAATTCTAATATTTCTTTGCAAGCTTCAGATCATCATCCTGTTCATGTGCTAGAAAAAAACAACACATTAAGTTTTTAAATCCTTTACAGAAAATTATATATTAGATATATAAAATTCAGCAGTATCACGACAGGGGGTTATCAGTTTAATTGAACTAACTGATTACCTGAGAAGCTGCTGCTGTAGATTTCACAATATAAGCAGTTACAGTCTTGAATCATTTTAAAATTGTGTTATTTATTGCATAACAGATAAGATTAGACGATGCATGTTTTATTTTTCATCATACTTTGAGTTAAATAGTTAATGTTTCAATGATTTTCAAAATCATTACATTCTGCTTTTTTTGCACACTGTCCCATTTTTTCTGGAAAAATTGATCCCCATTAAGGTAGTTTAATAACAAGAAAAAAATAAATACAATAAAAACACAATGATAATAATAACAACAATTATAAAAATTCACATATAAAGTTATAATGAAACACAATGATTATTTTTGTTTAAAAATAACAGTAATTTAGAAAATATAACTAAAAACAAACTGTGTATTGGTCAGCTGTTTATATCAGCTTCAAAATAGAGATGTTCCTGAGGAGTCACCATGCCAGACATTTACTGATTTTATGCACGTCTGCAGAACACCATGTTTTCTATATTATTACAAGATCAGAGAGTCAGATGGAAGACGAGCAAAGCTCCTTAAATTGTCCCTGAAGCATTAAAGGTTATGTCTTGGGTTTGGCTTTCGGCTTGGCTTTGACTGAAGCGCGCCTGTATTTCTCAGTCTGGTAGACGTCTGACTCGATGGCTTCGCCGGAGTCATTGAGCGTCACGTACACATCCCCGTTGACCTCAGTGACCTTATGAACCCGCTGTTTGACACCCTTGGAGCGCCAGTAAGTCCTCAGCGGTTTGGCTGTAGGGTCGTCCACAGCTTGGTAAAGCGATTCCCCCTCTGCGAGGGTGATCTTGTACTTGTGCCAAGGACACACGATGCACAGCTGTCCATTGAACTCCTAAAGGTAACACAGATCAAAAGATTTTTTAGATGTTACAGAAAAGGTTGAGTGTCAGACTTATGCACAGCTGTTTACAGTAAACGAGTCAAAAGGTGACTGATTTTCTTAATATACACCAGTAATCAGAATAAACAGCAGAAAACTCACCTCAATGTCTCCATACTGTAAAGCACCACCTGAATCTGTCCGTGAAAAAAAACGTGGCATTATGGACATCAACGACGAGCCGTAGAAGAACATATACTCTGCAATGTACTATGGATTATCTCAGCAGAAGCAGTACTTACGGTAGCAGTGCACGTCCATTGCATAAAGCTGCCCCTGGTGATGCACGACCAGCACATCTCTGCATCCGTTCACCAGCTTTGTCACACGGCCAGCTTTGACAATGTCCTCCTTCTTTCCAATGAAGTGGGAGGTAGACAAGTTTGAGGAGGAGGAAGAGGCAGAAGAAGTCTGAGACATCTCCTCCTCAGAGGACATGTTGATCTCTTCTTATAGCTGATATTCTGAATAAAATGAAAAAGATTACGCTTATGAAAAGAACAAAAAGATCACTTTAATTTCTTATTTTATGTGGATTGCTTATTACACTCCAGTTACAAAACACACAAAAAACAGTGTTTGTCTGTCTCTTTTTATAACTACACATAGAACCCCTTGGATTTCTTCATACAAGTAAAGTCACTTAATTGTCTACCTACTACTTTCTTCAGAGTAGTATGAATTATCCAAAGGAAAAGCTGTAAAACCTATGAAAATACAGTTAAAAGTCCTCTGGCCACCGGGCCTCAGGCCTCAGGGCTAGAGACCTGAGGGCACCCCACCCCTGGAAGGGGCACAGCTGAGCCACAGGCACCAGGCCCCGCCAATCGGCCACCAGGAGTGAGCCGGTACATACATGAGCGCCCAGCCCCAGACACCAAGAACCACCAATACACCAACGTCTGAGGGCATCAGCCACCGGCAGGGAGTGTGGTGAGGGGAGATAAGTCTCCATACCTCGGAGAGCCTGAGATGTTCCCAGAGAGGTTGAGTCTAAGACCCAAGCTGACATATAGACACAGACAAACAGGCGCATGCAGACACAACCATGCATTCCCACCCCCATATACACAAACAAATACTCAGCACTCACCTGACGTGGAGACAGACACAAATAGACACTGTACACACATTCACACTCTCCAAACATACTCTATATCCCAGGTCTGGGTACCCCTGCCCCAGAGGGGCAAACCATACACAGACTCAGGAGATGTAACCCTTCTCTCAGGGGTGGAGGAAAGCAGACCGCCTCCTTATCTGCAGTAGCAAGGAGGCCCCGCATTCCAGACCCCAATCCGACGGCCAGCACCTCCTCCCAAATCAAAATAATAAGCGTAAATCTGGTTTCATGTTGCCCACAGACAATTTCAATATAACTGCCATGAAGAGTTTTTGGTTATTCTGGTATATTTGAGATATAGACTGATGTCATTGCTGAAGTCACTTGGATGAACACTGTAAACAACCTAATGTTCTTTTTGTACAGTTATAGTTAGACATCTTCTTTTCACCAACCTGCACATTTACTGAAAAATATTTTTTATATATACCTAGATGATGATGATGATGATGATAATAATAATAATAATAATAATAATAAGAATAATAGTAATAATAATAATAATAATAATAATAAGAAGAAGAAGAAGAAGAAGAAGAAGAAGAAACTGTTTTCCTTTCCAAAGTTCATATACTAACTTAAAAACAAACAAACATTGTAAATCCTTTCGTAAGCGATAATCTGTCACTTTGACTGGCTTTGTACAGATTATGTAAAAAGTCTGAATTTTGTCCAGGGATACTCTCCTGTCACCTGTTTTCATCTATCAAACCTGACGGAGGAAACCAGCGTTGTGTGACTAAAACACACAGAAATATGCTAGCTAATAAGGTTCCCATTTACACATATGAAACACATAACGAGTAACGCGTTCTATTCTATTCTATTCAGCTCTATTTCTCTACGCCAACTCCATAAAGCGTTTAATTACCTTTTCTGTAATTTCACCGTGAAGTCAATGAGCGGCTGTCATGCTCGGTCTCTTTCGTTGCTGCTGAAGAGCGCTTCGATCACGTGTCAGCACGTTATCTTTCCAAAACAGGCCTCCTGAGAAAACTGGACATGTGTGAAATTACAAAACGTAAACTAAACGTCGAAGTTTCAAGAAATCTACGAGTGTTTGAGGTTTGAACAGGAAGCGCCAATGTTGTGTGTTACATCGAAATACGTCCCCGGTGAAACTATACAGAATGCAACAAAAGAAAAAAGAAAAAAAACTTTCAGAGAACATTTCACTTCGTGGCAAATCTGTCCGAAGTAGTTCACTGTTGCGTAATTAGTGTGTATATTTGCGTGTTGAGATATTTTCTTTATTCATGCGAGGTAGACAAAACAAAATAGGGGAATAACAGAAAATTAAAAAAAAATGTGGAAAATGATACAGCAGTGCAGTCTGCACACACTGAAATAGCACAACAAGTGCATATTGAATTGAGAAAAAAAAAAGCTTCACACAAAAAGGAGCAATAATTATGTTAATAAGGACAAATACAATAAAAAGCAAGTACCAAGATGAAGAAGTCTATTATCACCCATTTGTGTATGTCTTGAGCATTTCTTTATATTTTGATTCCAAGGAGCCAGACTTTATTGTGATTTTTAAGTGCTCTTAGGCAGTCGTTCGGCCGGTCTTCAGGAGATTCTTTTTTCTTTTTCTTTTTCTTTTTTTTAAGGAAATTTGCTCCTTTTTTACTCATTTCCAGTCCAGTCTTTGCACTGGACCGTTTTCAGAGGAATTTCATTTTGTTTGTTAATCTACTTAACACTGACTTATAAATCACTCATAAATGCATCTAACGAAAGTGTTTTCTCTACACAGACAACTTAACAATGAACCTATGTTAAACTGTATGTTTAGGCACTTTGTTACTAGCAGCTTGTTGGAAAGCATATAAACTTTCCCATTTCTTTAGTTTAATATACAAAATAAATAAATAAAAATAAATGCCAAAGGTAAGATACCAGCAAGGTGATTCCCAAAGAGCTTTTTTGTTTTTTTTACATATTCTTTGCTAAATATAACGAAATGAGGATTGCATCACGGGTTTTGCACTGACCTGTATATTTAATTTATAGACAGTGCAACTTTAAACCACTATCTTTCTACTTGCAATTATCTCTAAAAGCAACCATGAAGAAGCTTACAATCGTATTGGAGTGTATCAGAGTGTAAACATTTTGTCTGCCTATACGGGTGTCAAACTCATTTAAGTTAATGGGCCACATATATCCCATTTTGATCTAAACTGGACTATGCTAGAAAAACTATAATGTATAAACTAGCAAAGAATAATAACCTTGAGAGAACCATGCAAAATAAATCCAATTTTAATACATGTAAGTCTTTACATTCATTGTCATTAAATGCATCGATGACACATGACAGATCATATTGGATGAAGAAATAAGGATATTTCAGGATAAAAACTTGTATCCTGACTCACTGTAAGTGCAACAGGATTTTATGCATTTATGCTTTAAAATGTTTACTTTCCATTCATTTTTACTTCTCTGTAGCAACACTGGCCTGCATTAGCCGTACATTTTTATTACTTATAGACCTCATTGTAATCTGACCAATGAGCATATAATAAATAATTTATACAGTCATTGTCCTCGAACAGCTATCCAGTGGGCTGAATTGGACGCTCTGGTCCCGGGACTGCATCCCCCGGAACTGTGCGGCAGATATATTTGTGTCATTGTCTTTGAGGATATATGTATACAAGATTTATCTAGACTGAGTAAAACAAGCCCCCCCCCAAAAAAGAAAACAACAACAAAAAAACAAAACAGTTTGAAAACTCTATATTATATAAACGCAGAAAATATACTGTAACTCGTAGTACTGCCATCTCTCAGTATGCTGTAATGCCTGTAAGAAGGCTTTCTGTCTTAGTGGGTTTGTTGGTGGGCATTAAGCCGTCCTAAGGATTATCATCCCTCTGTCATGCTGAACCGACCGGCTGTCCTTCGGAAATATGTTAACATTAACATTTCCTCTTTTCCGTGAGGACGAGCAGCGGGAAAACAAAGCGCTCTTCTTCCTCAACCGTTTCCGTCGTCATGGAGACCCTCTCCGTGTACGGAAATAGTGGTCCTGCTGAAGCTAGCAACTTTGTGAAAAATCAAATTATCTATTCAGTTGGCTCTGCGTTTGCGGCTATCTGTTGCTCTTTGCGTGGTCTGGACTTGATCTGGTAAGCTTTGTAGTGATTTTCGCATTTTAGAAAAAGAAAACTTATTTGTGTCAAAATTAGCATAATCACTTCTTAAACTAAACCAAGCACAAGCATGTAAGTGGGATCCATTCAGGGGCGAATCCAGGATTTTTAAACCGTGGTGGCGCAGGCAGTAACAACCAGACAGGGGAGTCCAGGAAAATTCTAAAAGATGATATCTACCAGCTATAACTAGAATCATAATTACATAATTAATATGTAATGTCAATGTCTGTTTTGTTATGTAGAGAACCATGGGATTTAAAAATTTCCAAGTTTGTTTCTGAATCTATACACAGTTGTAATTGACTTCAGGTCAGCAGGCAGGTTGTTCCAGAGAATTGAAAGTTTCCTCAACAGATTTAGATTCAGTTCTGGATAACAGACCCGAACCACTGAGAGCTTGACTAATAAAAATATTTTAAAGGCAATTCTGTGTTAAACTGTCCTTACGTATGTTATACGTAAGGACTCTCGCTTCTGCATTCTGAATTAGTTGAAGTCATCCGACTGGGATAATCCATCAAATAGAACATTACCATAGAATAACCTGGTTTATATTAATGCATGACACATTTTTCTCAGATTCAGTTTCAAATAAAATATATTAAAAATTGGAAAATGTTTAAATTAAACAAAATTTTAATAGGTAGAAAGCTGTTTAGTGACATTATTAATATGATTACTACCAAAAGTAAGATTACTGTCCAAAATGATTCCAAGGTTCCTGACTTGCTCGCAGTGTTTCAGAGGACAGATGATGAATATGAACAAATCTTCTGTCTCTGATTTGTTTAAGTAATTTCTATTTAGTGTAATGTATAATGGTATACCGATTTATTTTTAGGTTTAAATTTTTATTATAATAATAACCTATGACTGCAAAATAAGTACTAGCTGAAGCTGAAGCAGTACAAAGAGCAATAAGTGCCTCCAATACAGTGGTAATAGAAAGCAACATAGCATAAGTGCTTCAGTCTAGAACTTGAGTAGCTCTACTTACTTTCCAGCACTGGTCCCATCCATGCTGTCATGACCAGCTGTGACCCAAAACAGACACTGCGTGCAGGCTTCACGTTCATTCATTTTGTTGATAAAGACTGAGGTGTTTGATATTTGAACTTAACTGGATTCTTACTTGAATCCAGGCAAACAGGCAGGCAGTTTAGTATTTCGGTGAGTAAGTCCACAGTTTCTTTTTGCAGGAACAGACCAGCTCAGAATATCAGGTAACTACTATCCACAGGGAGAGAGCTCTTCAGCTGACAAACGGATCTACTTAGAGAAACAGGTGACTTTAGCGCAGGGAACGTACTCAGAAAACATCAAAAAGCCTTATTACCACAACCATAGATAACAATCTGGCAGAGAACAGTAGCTCGAGTTTGTTCTTAAGTGCTGATAAGTAATGATTAGATTAGAAATTAGTGCACTGGCTGAAGAGCAGAAAACCAGGTGGCTCTGCTAGGGAGTGGTATATGCCCACCTCAACCTGTGGGAAAAAGAAAGTCACGGCAAAAGAGAAAGAGAGTAAAACGGGGGAAAAACCCTTAACAGCTGTAAAACAATGACACGTGATCAGTCCAGAAGCACTGGATGTTTTCACAGTGACAGTACAGATGACAGTGACACACAGATACACAGTGACAGATCTGCCCAATGGCAGATCAGTCACATTTCAGGTGATAGGAATTGGGATTTCCTCAGCATTTACTTTGTGCTCTGCAGACATGAATATACATTAAACCCCATTCAGTAAGTTATATATCACAATTTGAAGTTTTGCAGTTACTAAGGCAGGGCATGAAATCCCAGTATGGACTCACCAAAGTGACTGTGGCTTATGTATGAAGGAGAAGAGGCTGTCTCTCATGCCTTACTGCAGAGCTGTTGCAGCAACTGGTCAGTCCTGTGTAGAAGCCAGCAGCTGTTTACATGTGTTTGCTATATTTATCGTATTTGCTACTGTACAGAAATGTGTGACGACTGCAGCACACTCCCCTTTCTCCTTGCTGGCCTAGTGTCAGATTTCGACCTGCTACCAGTATCCTCTGCTTTGCTTACCAACAACAGAGCAGTGTGGTAGTAATGACACAATGACCGGCTATTGGCTGTAAGACGAAAATACTGAGGGATGTCTCTGCCACTTACAGGGCAGGTGGAGCGAAGTAAAGGAAAAAGGGAAAGAAGAGGAAGAGAAGGAAATGACACTTTGTCTGTATGAGTGTCTGAGAGCGGTTGGGCTACAGCATCACTATGCCAGGTAAGAGCAACCACAAGCCATTCAAATTGGCACTATTCTGCTATAAAACAATTTGCCTCCCCTTTCCTGTGCTTCAGGTTTACATCAGTGGGTGTTTGTCGTACAGCCCACATCTCAGTGCTCACCATGGAGGACTACCCCCTGCTGGGGATACACACAATGGAGGACAGGACTCGGTTATTTCAACTTGTCCAATTTGTCAAAACTCTTGATCTGGAGGGCCTTGGATATGATGATGATGATGATGATGATGATTATCACTATAGTCATGGTGGACGCGTCGAAGGCAGCACTATAGTGGATAGCAGCTTTTGTCATGATAGTGACAGCATTTTTAATGATGAAGATGGTAATGGAGCTGCTGTCAATAATATAATTGCCAGCACTTTTGCCAGACCATCACATGTTCGCAGGCGACTTGATTTCAGTAATGAGACCAGTGATCATCATCAGCGGTTGTCTCATCCTGTTGTTCACGTTAACATGAGGTATGCCAGATATGAGGAGTCCATTAGGAAAAAAGGATCTGCTACCTCTGTGCAACATCAATATAGGCCAAAACCCAAGCCTGCAAATGTGACATCAAACACATTTAATCACAAACCTTTGGGTCACAAAGACAGAAAAAGAACCACAAGGAAGAAAACTCTTTATACAGAAATGGACACTGATGGATGTATGTGTAAGCCAACACCTGTTTATGAAGCAAAGAGAACAGCTGGATATAACTATGGACTACCAATGAGTACTCCTCCTGCTCAGTGCAAACAGTGAGTGTGGTCTATACTGTCCTCTACTTAGACTGAATGTCATTGATGACAGCAGGATACATAAATGACAGTTAGAAAAAAGCAAATGTAAACACACTGATGAGACAACATTTTTGATGACTGTCATTGTCTTTATGACAGTGTACTCTTTATAATATTGAGTTTTTCTACTGTGATTGAAATTCTAACTCTAATTTGAGAGCCAGGCAAGCAGAAGAGCAGCGGATTAAGGTGTGTGTGAGGAAAAGACCACTGACATGCACCGAGAGCCGACAAAGAGAGGCAGATGTTGTGACGACTCCAGGTGGAGAGTGTGTGATTGTCCATGAAGTCAAGGAAGCCGTGGATCTCTCACAATACATACTGCAGGTGAATGTGCAGAGAGGAGACAGTGTACTCTAACCAATGTCACGGTATTTGAATTACTACTTTAAGGCCTTTTCAAACCTTTCCTGTTGCTTTTTTTTTTGTCCACACAGCACAAGTTCTACTTTGACCAAGTTTTTGGGGAGAAAAGCTCCAACGAAGAGGTTTATCACCAAACAGCATATCCTCTGGTGCAGCACATGCTCAAAGGGTAGAGTTGCATTCATGGACATCTTGCTAGAGTTGTACTAACTTGATTGAGTGTGCAGTAAACAGTATATCATTACACCAGAAAAAGCAGTCCCAATGCTTTAGTTAAATGGACTTTGTGCAACTTTAATTTAACAAATTTTAAAGTATAATAAACTAAATAATAAAAATTGTTAAATGAAAGGTTGTTAAATGAAATAAACATGCACAACAGTACATCTCAGTATGGGCAGAAAGTACAAAAATGCCCAATTTAAAAAAGTGAATTAGGTTAAAGGTATTCATTTACACCACATTAAGGACATTGTTTGTATCAGTGTATCCTAATCGTCTATACTTCTTTGTGTGGGTGAGCACAGAGGCAAAGTCACCTGCTTTGCATACGGTCAAACAGGTGCAGGGAAGACTCACACCATGCTGGGTTCACCTGCCATTCCAGGACTATATGCTCTGGCAGTTCAGGACATCTTTGCTCACCTGTCAGCCACACACTCATACCAGCTGGTGTTTGTCAGCTTCTTCGAGATCTACTGTGGTCAGCTGTATGACCTCCTGGACCACAGAAAAAGGTCTGTGTTTAAGTTTTGGGGGGGTTGTGTTAAAAGTGCATGCAGATTTTTGAGCTGGACGCTGCACTGGGGGAATTCATATAATCTCTATCTCACTGGGGTCATTTAGGTCTCAATTTTATGATAACATTATCATAAAATTGAGATGCCTGGATCTAGGATGTCCTCACTTCTTTATTTAGTATTTTGCTCAAAGCCTCAAAGTCTTTCTTCTGTATTTGTATCTCTTAATCTTTCTCTTTCTTTCTTCTGCAGGTTATTTGCTAGGGAGGATGGACAGAAAGTGGTTCACATTTCAGGGCTGCGAGATGTCAGAGTGGACTCAGTCAGCTCTCTGCTGGAGGTTTGCCTGATTTTCTTTACAATAAGTTATATTATTTAAAAAAATCAGTGACATATTAGTGTTTCTGGCTTATGATCCATCACAATTCACTGGTTACTTTAGTGTGTAAACTACAGAAAGAAAAGTGGTTAATTTTAATGTGTGTGGCTGTATTTCAAAAACAATGAGAAATAAAATTTACTGATAGGTCAAGCAGGGCCGCAGGACAAATTCATCTACTTCAACACCAAATAAAGTGTTTGAGGTTTGGAGCGTTATGACTCAGGTCAGTAGTAAAGCATAAGTATATAGCAAATTATAGCATTGACCAGATTACTGAAAATAGTATGTAATGCTAATGTGAAGGCCCCAACAATGATCATGACCAATAACATAATAAAATTCTTTCTTCATCACTTTGTGCATGCAAATCAACATAGATAATCTCACAGTAATGACTCTGTTAAATGCTTTGAAGTTAATATTGTTCAGTCCATCAGGAATGATAATTTGGTGAAATTGTATGCAGTGTGTATGATGATTATGCTTTGAAAATGGAAAAGGGTCCTTAAAATGCAGAATATGACCTCAACTTTGAATACAATTTGGGTGAAGATCTGTTAGGTCATTATTTTTTGTAAGTTTGACTCAATCTGACCAATACTGTGGGGGGCGAAGCAATTCCTGTGAATTCTGGACAGACAGACAATGGCGTGACCTCATTGCTTCTTGGGAACAGATGAGCTAATCCACAGAAAGATTCCAAGATCGTTTCTCCCTGGAAATAATAAGAAACAGGTCCCCAGCTATAACTGAACTGAGTGTAGCAGTTGTTCTTGCACTTCACTTTTATATTATGGTCTCACAGGTGTACCAGTGTTATCTTAGGTCGGGGTGAGTCACAATATCAATATGATTTGATACTGAAATTTTTATTAAAATATGTAAGCACTCTAAACAGATTCCCCCAGCAGTTTGACTTACCAGAGTCATTTTGATAGTGTTGCTGTCTCATGGACATTTTTTTTCTGTGATCCCCACCTCTGTCTTTAATAACCTTAAATACGTGAAACATTACCTAACAGTAAGTATGATTTCTGCAATCTCCTCAACCTAGTAAGAGTAGTTTCCATCTCTCCCCTCTTACTCAGGTGATTTCTCAGGGTACAGCCGAGCGGACACAGGGGATGAGTGGCGTGAATCCACTCTCTTCTCGATCCCACGCCTTGCTTCAGATTCAGCTTAGAGATTCAAACCAGCAGATAGCTGGCAGGTGAGTGACAGGTAACGCACTTCATGATGTTACTTTTTTCTTTCTCTGAAACCATACTTGAATTATTGATTATTGATTAGTAGATCAAACAAGACAACTGTGTCAGTGTAAAATGACTGACCTAGCGTGTGTGTGTATGTGTCTGCGTAGAATGTGGTTTGTGGATCTGGCAGGAAGCGAAAGAGCATCCGATGCCAAAGAACCTGACAGGCAGAGCCGCATGGAGGGAGCTGAGATCAACCAGAGTCTGTTGGCTGTAAGCTATACAGATACTAAGAGGCCCAACATAAAGTCAAGGATGTTCATTGACATTGTTGATTTTTATTTCCCTCAGCTTAAAGAATGTATCCGGTCACTTGATCAGGAACAATCGCACACACCTTTTAGGCAGAGCAAACTGACTCAGGTAGTAAAAGCTGACGGAAACAGTGACACGAGTATGCATCATATGGCTGATTTTCTGGTTTCTCCACTGATCCTCTATGTTTTGATACTGAATTCTTTTTCTAGGTTTTGAAAGATTCATTTGTCGGTGACTCAATGACATGCATGATTGCCAACATTTCACCTGGTCACACAGCAACGGAGCACACACTTAATACACTGAGATATGCAGACCGGTAAGTGTGCACATGTCCAGGTATAATGAGGGGAATTTAATATACTGTATTAGTTTCTTAAAATATTTATTGATATCTTTATTGTGTAAAGCCATGCCGGGTTTCAGTCCTCTGATTTTATATTGTATGAAAGGGAAAATTCTATTAAATTCAGTCTTTACAATCAAGGTTTCTTTAATATTTTCAGGGTAAAAGAGTTGAAAAGACAAGGAGGGCTGAGAGGAAGAAGAAGAAACAGAGGCAAGCCAGCAGCCTCACCCAATCAAAACCTGTTCAGCAGCACCACTGGTAGCACTGTTAGCAGTAGAGGGAAAAGTCCTCCAAAGAAGCCAAAGTTAACAAGACAAAGCGATTCTTTCGGTCCCACAACTCCTACCACAAGGTCACCTGTGAGGAGTGCATTTCTCTGCTCCACACCCAAGAACACCAAATGTGGAGAGGAAGCAAATGCGAGACGGAGGGGAGAGATCAGACTTGAACATATTTCTCCAGTTAGAGGTTGGCTGAGAATAGGTGACAAAAGGCATCGGAGAAATGAAGCAGATGAATTAGGAGGGGGGAGAACAGGAAATGCCAGTTTAAAAACTATGGAGAGACAGTCTGTTAGTCAGCAAAGCCCCAGGGCAGTGCTGGAGTCGGGACACCAGCAAAGCCCCAGGGCAGTGCTGGTGTCGGGACAACCAAAAGACAAGCGTGTATGGAAGGTGCAAAAGGAGGGAGAAGCTCATGAGAATGATTCATTTTTTACTGAAAGTAAATCTGACTCCTGTTTCAGAGAAGAAGAACATGAGCAACATGCTATGAAAGGTGGAATAAAAAAAGGTGGAGAGAATGGAGATGCAAATAGTAAAGGGGAAGGGATAATACAAAGGGGGTTACCAAAGGCCAATGAAAGGGATAAGGAAAGAGAGAGGCATCTGAGATGGTATCACAAGCAGCTGCAGCAGTTTATGCCCTCTTCTGCTTCTTTATCCAGCCAACTCTCCTCACCCTCTATATATCCATCTCCCTCTTCCTCTACTCAGCCTTCTGTCTCTCACCTCTCCATTTCTTCCCGTGCGAATCATGGTTTGGAACTGGTTTTAGATGGATGCACAACCAGATCTGAAGATAGAGTTAATGGTAACAGAGGACGGGTGTTTTCTCCCAGCGCTGAGATTCTGTTACAAACTGAAACCTCTTCGATCTCTAATAACATTAGTGAAGAGGATGCTAATGGAGACACTGGTGGTGTTGGGGAAAACTCGAGGGCATCTTTGGAAGGAACATGGACAGGATTTGAACAAGAAAGGAGTAGAAACGAGAAGAGGAGGTCACTTGAGGCAGCAAGTGAAGAAAGGCAAAGAAGGAAAGAGAGGAGGCCAGCTGGAGTGGAGAGGGGAGAAGGGAGGTGGGTGTGGATGTCAAATGGGACAGCAGGTGCTGTCTGCTTTGACACAAGTGAGACACAATTGTGTCACAGCTCTGATTCACAAGACAGACTGGAAGTGGGTGTGGCGGGACTGAATACCTCAGATGACCCAGCTGATGGAGTGTGGAGTGCTGGGAAGGGGGGAGCAGCTCAAAAAGGGTGTTTATTGTCTGCTCACATGAACAATGAGGGCAACAGCCTCATTAGCTACCCCCCTGCAGAGCAGCCCCTCTCCCCGGACTGTGAACATACCAGCACACTCCTGACCCCAGTTATGCTTAGTGCTGCCTCTTTTGAATCAAAGTGTACAAGAGTCATCCCAGAGGCAGTACAATCAAACACAGAGAGAGAGAAAGAACTATGGTTTCTTGCTAATCCCGGTAAATTGCCAGCTACATTACCTTCCACTACTTCCATCACACCTACTGAACCCCTTAACAAACCACCAGAAAATCCAGCTCACACTCAGCTACATAACCATTCAGAAGTCAAAAAGTTGGTTTTACCTCAAAATGAGACTCTGGTGGATTCTTTTAGCTCCATCATGGAGCCCCTCAGCATCTCCCAGCTTCAAGTGGATCAACAGGCTGCTACAATCTCTTTCCTGCGAGGGGACAACAAAAACACCTTGCACAGTCCTTTTAATGACAATAGAGAATACAACAAGTGGGAAGAGATGGAGGAAGTTGTAGAGGATGAGAATACAGGTTTGCAACTGTCTTTCGTGGAACTGCCACAGGCAAAGACGCACTACCCTCCCTTATCTGACACTACGACAGCTACGAATCACACAGAGGGAAAACAAGACGTACATCTCAGTAATTGTTACACAGGTATAAGTATAAATACTGATGGTCGTGTGTGTGTGTGTGTGTGTGTGTGTGTGTGTGTGTGTGTGTGTGTGTGTGTGTGTGTGTGTGTGTGTGTGTGTGTGTGTTTAAACAGGTCTGTCCACAACCTTGTTTTGTTTTCCTGTGCAGGTATTCCTGAAGATATTTTGAACTCCTCACAGGATCAAGATAGCAATCAGAAGCAAACACCACCAGCTACATTCAACAGACCTCCTACATCACCACTTAAAAAATCTACATGCACTTCTGTGCAAGGGTTGCCCAGTTTGCAGGATTTAATGACAAATGATGCACAAGTTCCACCAGAATATGCACATGATAACCACGAAAAACTTCCATTAGCTTCCATTTTAACACCACAATTAGAAAGTGTCTCAGGTTACAGCCCAGCAAGCCAGTGTCACACAGTATATTCAAAGCATTCCTCCAACTCAACCACTTCACTCCAACCAAACAATCTTGGAGAGTTTAATGATGAAGAAAGCGCCACTAATCACCACGTTAGACCCACGATCCAGCTGTTTAAGCTGGATGACTTAGACCACGCAAAGTAGGTCCAGAATTCTCACAATTTTTGTTAGTGTAATCATCCAAAAAACATTAAAATAACACAAACATATTCTTGTGTATTTGATAATATTAGAATGATGCACAAAAAGGGGTTATTTTAATAAAACATTAATGCATATTTTTTGTACCCATTCTAACTTTAGGTGGTGTATATTCAAGGCCCACTGGGAGCAGCTAAAAGAGATGGAAGCTTTATGTCGTAAAGAGGGGAAGCTTCTGTGCCAGCAGCCTGATATGGTGAGAAATAAAGCAACAAAAGCAACTCTTTACATTTTTTTTAATGTGCATACTCTTTTTCTGTTAGGCATTTGGAGAATATGTCCAGCAGCTGGAGGAAATCATGGAGAAAAAGGCTTGGTGTGTACACAGCATGAGAGCTCAGCTACAGCCATATCTGAAGCCCATCACCTCAATCCACCCACAGGGAGCAGACGATCACAGATCAACTAGTTGAATTTGAGTTAATAATACTTATGTTTTTGTGCAATGTTTTCAGTGACAACAATAACTGCAGCTTGCTACATATCGTACATATATGGTCATCCTATATGCTTTGTTATGTTTAAGTAAATTGAGCTTGATGAGTTCTTGGACAGCTGTCACTTGATGTGTTTGATGTCAAAATGCATGATGCACTAAGGGTTTTACTGGTGAAACGTGCAATCACATGTTTTTCTTTCATGGTGACAGTAATATATATGGAATTCTGATTCTGCCACTAAAGATAGTTCTTTCTATCTATTTTTTCTTAGTTTTCTGTCCATGAAAACTGCTGATTTTGTAATTTTTCATTAAAGAAAATCTTTGGTTTTAATCTTAATGCATGTTTTATTCACAGCACCACTATCTGGACAAAGCTAAATCTGTGTCTCTGGGTTGACAACTCATAGAACCACGGATTTGTTTGAGCTTGATCTCAGATTGTAATAGAAATGCTTGCTTAGCAGACTGTTTTCTAGTGTTAAATTTTTTAAGATTTCAAGATTGCTGATATCTGTTGTGTTGTGATCTCTGAATTTGAAATCTTCCTCTTTAAATGTCAGTGTTTAACTTTGGGTACTGTGTGCACATTTTTCCACAGAGGGCAACTGAAAATCAATAAAATAAGGACTAAAAAAAGTATACCCAAGCACTTCTTTGTATTAAAATTATAGCACATCCTTCTACATTTTTATCTAAGCTCAATTTGACATTGAGTTTTGTGCTGAGTCTTCTGATAAATAATATGAAAGCAGCATGCATGAGGAGAACAAAAAAGTGGTGGAAGTGACGAGGTGGAAGTGGGATTACATCAGGGATTGGCTCTGAGCCCCTTGTTGTTTGCAGTGTGATGGGCAGGCTGGCAAATGATGTCAGGCACGGGTTTCTGTGGACTATGATGTTTGCAGATGATGTTATGAACTGTAGTGAGAGTAGGGAGCAGCTGGAAGAAAGATGAGAGGTGGAGGTACGCTCTGCAGAAAAGAGGAATGAAAATCAGTAAAAGAAAGACATAAAAGATAGGCAGACGGGTTAACAGTGGCGATGCAAGGAGTTGAAGTAGTGAAGATGGATGAGTTTTAATACCTGGGATCAGACATCGAAACCAATAGATGCACAAGAGAGGTGAAGAACAGACTGCAGGTAGTGTGGAGGGGGTGGAGATGAGTGTCAGAGGTGGTTTGTGACAGAAGGATAGAAGCAAGAGTAAAAGGGAAGGTTGAGAAGTTGGTAGTAATAGGATATACAGTTTGGAGATGGTGGCACTGACAAAAAGACAGGGCAGAGAGGAAATTGTTAAGATTTTCATCACCAAGATGGAGAAGATTATAAAGGGACAGCTCAGGTAGAGATGTTTTGGACATGTGCAGAGGAGGTATGGAGGATATTGAATATGGAGCTGCCAGCCAGAAGGAAAAAACAGACCACAGAGAAAATTCATGAACGTAATAAAGGAGGACATGGAGAAGGTAGTGTGACAGGGAAGGATACTAAGGATAGGGTGAGATGGAGGTAGACGATCTGTTTCCACATAGAAATGGTAAAAAAAACAAACAAACAAACAAACAAAAAACATTAAAATTGAGTCGATGGAACTACCACCTGTTGTAAGTAGTGATGTGCGGATCGATCCTGAAATATCGATTCCTCCGATACCAATCATTTATGTTCTAGAATCGATTCTCATATTAAAATATCGATATTTTAGTACTTTGGGGTAAATTTGTAGTTTTTCATTAACAGGAACACAGTGGAAAGAAAATATATCATTCGGATTGTCTAAATTGGAAGAAACTATTTCCTCTTAGGCCTTATGCTAAATACGGCTGTATAAATGTGTCGCAGCCCCTGGCCGGTGTTGCCAACTCCTCAGTAAGGAAAATTGCTATTGGCTATGCTAAAAGTCTCTAGAAGTCAAACAACGTCATCGCCTAATTTGCATAATTGGTCATGCTAATATCATTGTAACCCACGGTGTAGGAGAGAAAAAAGAAGAGACATAAAGTGAGTAAAAAAAACGTCCTAAATGCATTTAGAATTTATTTAGAATTACAACTAATTTTTTTTTTTTAGCGATTATTGTTTTGTTTGTTTTTATGTCACAATTCCAACCTTATTCCTTTATCTGCGCTTGGACCGGCAAAAGTGACCCGAAATAGGCACTCTAGTGGAGTTACTTTGTGTGTGTGTGTGTGTTTAAGTAGTTTTAAACCTTGTGATCCACAGAACAACATAACAGTAAAAGAAGAACTGATTGCGTTACAGTCAGTGCGGGAGCAGAGGCTTCACTCATACGCGATTCATTTGCAGTTTGGACGCATAGGTGGGACCATCTCCTGCCCTGATAGCAGCTGGGGGAGGACTATCCTCTGCCCGTGAGCGCTTTGGCACGGACAAGGTGCCCACAGCAGCACCCACTGCTTGTTGAGAAGAGCGATACACGCTTGTCATAAATAAGTCTCCAATAACACCAGAAAAAGTCACCAGATTTGTCACTAGTCGTTTTTTAGAATAAAAGTTGCTAAGGGGCTCTGAAAACTCGCTAAATATAGTGATAAAGTCACTAAGTTGGCAACACTGCACCTGGCGTGCGCACTCACAATAATGGCTGAGCGTAAACAGTCATGTGTGGACATATTTTACCTCCACAAACAGACGCGGTTTGCGATACATGTGGCAAGACAGTGAGGTGTTGTGGCAACACCACTAACCTCGTCAAACACCTCAGAGTAAATCCTATCACAGAATATGATGGGCTTATGTTGAGGCGAACTGAAGAGGAAGAGAGGACAGGGACAGGTGCGGCTAAGGCAAGACAGACGTCTTTCACAGAGTCCTTTGGTGCTGCAGGCAGGCAACATGCTCAAATAGCGCACAACTTCGGGTTTTTTATTTCTATATGATTATTCTGCATCATTAAGCAATGAGAACAAGTAGTCTGATGTCCTATAATCATTGTGAAGCTATATTATTATATTATTATTACAATTACAAAATGCAATTCTATATTGTATTATGAAAGACAATGAAACATTAAGTTTTTGTACAGAGTATCGGTATCGCATAAGACTGAAGCGCGCTCACACACAGGAACGAGTACGTAAGGGCGTGGTGCTTGGCCATCTGACCGGCTTGGCTGGTTTTGATTGGCTGTGCCGGTTTCACAACGCCGAGTGTCGGCGGGGTAGGTCACGTGACAGCATCTGCTGCTGGCTGAGCGAAGCGTGTTAGCAGGTAAACGAAAGCTTCAGATTTGTTATGTTTGAATATTTTTTTTTATTATTAAGTCGTTTTGAGAGTTCAGGTATGTTATTGTGTACTTTTTGTTTATTTTAACGAACTCGATGGGCCTGTTCAAAAATATTATTCGTCTTATTCGGCTATTAGTCGTCTAACTAACTGCGTTGTATCCGTGCTGAGCGGTGCTGCTTTGTATGCGGACGGGCCGTTCGCACGCCGGGCAGTCGGCATGCCGCCTGTCTCTGGCTCCTGATTACTGCCCAAACAAATCTTAATAACTTTTCTCCCTGAATTATGTGCTTATAAATATATTAAGGGACACGGACAATTAGAAATGTCAACGAACCACGCAGCTCGTTTTAGTTTCAGTTGTTAGCTTGTTGCTAACGTTAGCCACATCTCCCATGAAGTGACTAATGTTAGCTCGTTGGGCTACACAAAGGGGAGCATGGCAGCGCTTGTCACGTTTGTTTATTTTTTGGTTGCTACCCCAGACGGACTGTACATAGAATAGACATATTGGCAGACAGGTTAGGATACTGATACTCTACACACGGCTTGTGGTAGTTTAACGAAGAAATTTGCGTGTTACTCGCACACAGAACAAAGACTAGCAGTTAGCCGGGCTGCTGCTATCGTGAGCTAGTTTGACCTAACATAAACGTTAGCCTCTGTGGTTCATGCTTCTGTCGATTTTATCACACAAATAAGAGTGACTCTGATATTTAATACGTATAATTAAGGCAAAAATAAACACTGCTATCTGTATATGTACGACGCACGCAAATGCTTTGCCAGATAACCCTTTCTCGTGGATTTTATTTAAGAACCCACGCTGCCTGACAAATTGTCACTTGGTTGTATTATTAGCTACAGCCAGTTGCTTTGTTCGATACTACTCAGGCAGTGTTTGTGCTTTTGTTTTTCGCCTTTTTAAAAAGCCTGTATTTCTGTTGTTGTTGCCTATCTTTTATTCACATTTTTGATATATATAAAAGATGTTAATACCAGTATTAAAATATAGCGGTGCACTGAGTGTTTTTGTGTGGGAGAATAAGGCAGGGCTGTAAGCTGACACCCAACAGGCCCCTCTGGGCTGGCTAAATTTAAACGGGGATGTAGGGAGCGACAGATGGGGGTTATAGTCTTACATGGTATACTAGTGAGTCGGTCTGTTTATATTAAGTGTACAGTATCAGCACTGTAAGTAAGGAAAGTTTACTTACATTGCGATTTTCAAGAGCAAAAAGTGACAACGTGCTTTATATTACAAAATAAAATACAACAGTTAAAGCAAAAGCAAGTAAAGCAAACGTAACACCCAGGTATTTGAAAGCTGGGAGAACTGAAGATGTCCAAGAGTTTCACTTACCTTAGGACCAAAGGGGCACGAATAAGAACTTCAGTTTTTTGTGTATTAATAGACGGATAATCGGCTGTCATCCTGTTCTTCATAATATGGATGTAGTCCAAGTTTAACTAGGATCTGTCCAAGTGGCAGCATATACAAGGGAAACAAGTTGGGCCCTAGGATGGCAGAAAAGGACCAAAAATTAGCAAAAGCATCTGAAAAGGTCCAGAGCAAGAAAGAGATGCCCACCCAAGTTCTAAGTCTCTCATTCAGGATACCATAATCAGCTGTGTTGCGGGCAATAGAGACATCCAATAGTGCAAGAACCAAATATTCATGTGCATCATTGACTTTGAGTTTCAAATTATATATACTGCACATTTATTTATTATTGTTTTCTTACTAAGGGGTAATGATGCCGTACCATCTGGCTTTCGTTTCACCTTTGCTTCTGTGTCCTTTGTCTTTCAGATTTTTCTATTTTGTACATACATTGTTTTGTATATACTGTATATGATGACTTCACTGGTCAGCAATCAAGCCCGGGGTACTCGGGACAAAACGCTGCCCACCACCACACAAACAACACAGCAACAGAAGCAGATACAGGTGGGTGGTTGTCATTGTAAATACAGAGTTATTAAGCAAAATAGTCTTTTAACTTCAATAAAATATTGCATCTCTTAGTCTTAAACGTAATTTTTCACTTTTAAATGATTTTATCCCACTTTTCATTAAAATATATAAAGGATCCAAATGCTTTTAAAAACATTTAAATGTACTATTCAGATGGTGATAGTTCTTGATTCTCATTAAGCTCTGTTTGTTTGCCAGGCCACAGCAGAACAGATTCGTTTAGCCCAGGTGATTTATGACAAAAACGATGCTGATTTTGAAGACAAAGTCAAACAGGTAATGTTTGTTCATATTTTGTGCGTAGAGAAATTTTCTGGGTCACCAGGATATATTTTCCTGAATTTAAAACTTAACTGTGTTTGTTTTCTTCTTCTTCTTCTTCTTCTTCTTCTTCTTCTTCTTCTTCTTCTTCTTCTTCTTCTTTTTTCCTATGCTGTGACTTTCACAGCTGATTGAGGTCACTGGAAAGACTCAAGATGAGTGTATGGTAGCCCTCCATGACTGCAATGAAGATGTAAACAGAGCCATCAATTTCCTGCTGGAGAGCACCTCTGA